AACTCTGCCCTCCCAAGGGAGAGGCGTTTGTTCACTGCACTGCGGAACTGTGTTTAGGGAATTTGCCAGAAGATAGATTTTTCTATCGTGTGAGGCATTTGATTGCTCTAGAAGGATGGCGGTTTCGGGGAGAAGATTATTTGGTTGTGTCAAGTTGATTAACTTGTACCCTAGGTTCATAGTTTTAAACAGCCAGTGCTGCTAATATCCAAATAAAAAAAACCAGGAAACTGCGTGGGCCCTCTGGATGTGGCCGTGTGGTTTGGGCGTGGCCCCCATCACCTCACACGCCCAGGTCGGGCCAGGGGCTGAGGGGATGGAGAGGACAGAAGCCCCCTCCCCTTGAGAAGCCCCGAGTAACGTGGTGTCACGTGTCGAGGTGCAGCCTGGGTGTGGGCCCCGGAGAGGAGCCCGCTTGGCCTGGCCAGTTGCAGGTGACACCTGGGCAGGTGGAGGAGGCCGGGCTGGGCGCACCGTGGACAGTGTATGGGTGCTGCAGGAGGTGCAGGACTCAGAATTTGAGGCGAGGGCCAGGAGACGGTGGCATGCTGGGGGGGTCCCGCCATGGGGTTGGTGCGGAGGCAGCTCCGTGGGAGACGCCGTCGGGGTGGGGCCCATAGGGTGGCCTGCTGGGCCTCAGGCCCCGTGAGACAGTCAGGAGAGATGTCCACAGGACCAGCTCAGGGTCGTCTGCAGTTCAGGGAGAGCTTTCTGGGGTACAGACTCGGGGTGCAATTGTCCAGCTGAGGACTGGCTCAGGACCATCTGCAGTTCAGGGAGAGCTTCCTGGGGTGCAGACTCGGCGTGCAATTGTCCGGCTGAGGACCGGCGCAGGGCTGTCTGCAGTTCAGGGAGAGCTTCCTGGGGTGCAGACTCAGGGTGCCATCGTCTGGGGTGGGGGAGACGAGTCCAGGTCAGAGCCCAGGAGCCAGCACCTTTAACAGGCACGTGAGAGGGCAGGCTGCTGAGTGACAGCTGCCCGGGGGAGCCCAGAGGGAAGAGGACTGTGGCGGTGGTGGCAGCAGCCTCCGGTTTAGACAGAGGGGCTGATGTCCTAAGAGCGGTTCCAACAGTCCCTGAAGGTGACCCTGTGGGGCCCTTCTGGGTGGGGCCACTCGGGTGTGGGGGGTGCCGAAGGCAGGTGGAGGGCTGGGGGGAAGGGCCCTGTGACAGAGCGTAGTGCACAGAGCAGGCCCTGGTTCTGTGTGCGTGTGTGCGCGTGCATTTGTGTACCTGCGTGCGCGTGTGTATGTGTGTGCGCCTTAGATACTGTAAGATCAGAATGATTGAAGCATGTTTATATTTGGAAGAGGAAAGGCTGAAAAGGAAGAAAACGGGGGTGCTCGGCAGAGGCGGGCCCCTAAGGAAGTGGGAAGAGATGGGACACGGGACTTACGAGGGGTCTGATGGGGCTCGGGTAGGGGCGAGTGGCAGGGGAGGTGGGTGCTCTCCCCTGAGGCCACCTTGGCCTGGAGGGGTCTGCGAGCGAGGCCAGGGAGGGGCTGTGGTGGGAAGTGGAGGGGAGACGGCCCCATCCTGGCCAGCCCCCGTGGGTGTCTTGGGTTCTTGTTCAGGAAGCGGGCACCCATGAGCCTGATGTGGTGGGTGCAGGTGGAGTCCATGGGGGGGCTGGCAGTGCCCTGTTGACACTTCTGGTCACCACCAGGGACGTGGCTGAGAAGGAGCCCGGAGGGCGTGTGGCTGTGGTCTCAGGGCCGAGGTTGCCGGTGCGTCGCGTGAACCCCAGAACGGGCGACACGGAGCGCACCGGCCCGAGCAGCCCGCGACAATGCCGTAAGCCCCTTTCTTCTTGCAGACGCTGAAGAACTCCAAGAGCCTCTGCTCACTCGACCACGAAGACGATGACGTAGATGACGCCCAACTGAAGACGGTTGTGTCCTCCCCGTGTGACTCACACGACCTCATGAGCATTGTCACGCCCGGCTCCAGCCCTATGAGGGAGCACCTGGGGCCCTGCCCTGCTGACCTGCGTCCATGGACACCAAGGGAGTGTGTGGTGGGCGAGGGCGACAGCACCGAGGAGGAGGGCGTCTTTCCTCTGGGCTGCGGGGACCTGGATCTGGAGCAGATCGAGAACAACTGATGGCCAGTCCCGGGCGGGAGCGGGGCCGCCCCCTGCGTCTGCCAATGGGCGGGCCGACAAGATGGATTCTGCGTCATTTTGAACATTAAGGCATCATTTTGATTAAAATTTTCCTAAAGAAGTATTTTGCATTTTTATGGCTTTTACAGTTCTGGAGAAAGCATCTCTATTTTGGAATGAATTTTCAGAAGGGCATTCTATTGAACATGCATCTGCAAATCGATCCGTGTGGGTGTGCGTACTTGGGTGAAGAGCCCCGTGGAAGCACAGTGCCAAGTTCACCTGGTTGGAAATCCCGGCACTGCTGGGCCGGCCCCCGGCAGGTGGGATGGGCGTCTCCTCTCCCCACAGGGTGTGTCACCGGCCCTCGGGCCCGCAGGCTGGCACTTGGTGTCCTCGGACTGTGACCTGGGTGTGGTGGCCTGGCAGTCACAACTGCCCTGGTCTCCTGTGTGACGGCTTCCAGCCAGAAGCGGTGCTGCTGGGACAGGATCTGGCTGAGGTGGCGCAAGCGGTTTGTGATTGGCTGCTAACCTAAAGGCTGGCGGTTCAAACCCATGCAGTGGTACTGCAGAAGAAAGGCCTGGCAATCTGCTTCAGTTAAGATGACAGCCAAGAAAATCCTATGGAGCAGTTCTGCTCTAACACATGGGGTTGCCATGAGTTGGAACTGAGTTAACAGCATTAGGTTTCGGGCTAAAGAGTCCCCACTGGGTGTGGCTGTGCCTTCCATGGCCAAGGAGGGTTTATGGGGGTCATTGAGCTCCCAGACGGGGCTTGAAGACAACCGTTCCCAGGAGATGACCCTGTCAGCACTCCTGTTTGAATGTGGCCTGTGACATTAATAAAAGGCATTGTGCTTTGCATGTGTGACTCTGCTCCCTGATTTTTATTCCCATGATTTTTGATGTGTGCCCAGTGGGGCTTCCGTCCTGGCGGGTCTCGGTTTAGCACAAGGACAAAGCCTCAGAGGTCCTGTTTTTGATTTCTGTAATTTAGTAAGATCACAGGAATTTCTAACAGACATTTATCTAAGGGACTTAGGTTAAGAGAAGGGGGTTGATGGTAGTGAAAGAAAGCATAGATAATCTTCGTACACATTTTCTTGATTTTTTTTAAAATTAAGTTTTTTCTTTCTTTACTCCTAAGAAAATTTACAAAAGGTCAATAACCCATGCCTTCTTCCTAACTTGGGTGGACTGTCCATTGAAGGGGTGGGCAAAGGTGGGAAATTATTTTATTTTATTCGGATTGGCCGAGCCCAGACACGGGGGAAGTCTGGGTACCTGCTTTCTGGTGCCACCCTCGGACCCTTCCCTATGAGATGGAGGGGGCGGGGCAGTTTAGGGTCCTTCTGCCTCCTGCCCTGGGATGCTGGGTGTGTCCCCTCCTCCTGCCCCCACCCCCCATCAGGGCCACCCTGGACTGTGCTAATGTGGCTGCCCAGCAGACAGCAGGCTCAACGGCAGGACGGGGCACCCATGTGCGGGAACGGCCGCACTCCTGTCTACATCTATAACCATCAAACACACCCCGGCCTACACAGTACATTCTGTACATAGGTACACACACACGTGCATGCACACAGGCACACTGCACACAGGCACACATACATACACGTGCACACGGACACGCACACAGTGCACATACGCATGCACACGTGAGTATACACACGTGCATGCACACATGTATGCATGAGGTACACATGCACACACATGTATGTACATGCACCTTGATACATTCCAAGTGGTAAAACGTTGATTGGCTTTATTATATAAACCAATGCAATAAACCTAAAAATTAATAAAAGGATTAAAAAAAAAAAAGAGCCAAACTACTTGGAAATTCAAAGATGCTCTCCTAAATAACTCCTAGGTCAGAGAGTAAATAAAAGGGACTGTGACAGGCGGTTTTACAATTATCCGGAGAGAGAAACCGCACGTCCACGAAGCAGCTTTAGGAGGAGCTGGTGGAGAATTCACAACCTTAAATGCTTTTATTACCGAGCAAGAGAGACTGAAAATAAATGAACTAAACATTTGACACAAGGAGGGAAAAACAGAACAATAAAGTAAATCCAAGGGAGGCAGGAGGGGGCGGAATAAAGATAAAGGCGGAATTAATGAATTGGAAACAAGAAAAACGGTAGAGCCCATCAGTAAATCCAAGAGCTGGTTCTACGAAATAAATAAACAACCGCTTTCCTGGTCTAAGCAACAGAGAGAGAGAGGGGCAGGGAGAGCACCAGGGCCCCCCCGAGGAATGAGAAGGAGGAATCAGGGCGGCGCAGGAGATGAAAAGGGACAAGTTAATGCATTCGAGACTCTTGGTAAGATTGACAATTTTCTAAGACAACATAAATTACCAAAATTAACTGAAAGAGGTTTAAGAAGAAACCATATACATAACTGCCAAAGGACGGGAAAGGAAAGGCACGTGCTTGGGACTCGTGGAGGGGGGACTTCGTATGGGCGACGGGTTGTCTGTCCAGCACAGACGGGAAGGGAAGGAACTCTGTAGTTCAGATGGGGAGGCCGAGGCGGAGGGGGCTCCAGGAAGCCGAAGGAGGGCCGCCCTGGCTGAGCTCTGGACGGTGTGCAGGAGGTCAGGGACCGCAGGTCCTAAAACACAGGGAGGGGCCCCAGGAGGGGCTCTGGGGGGAGGAGGGGGTGGGGCGTGGTGGCGGAGGAAGGGTGAGGAGGTTCACCTGGCCCACAGGCTCATGCCCTGCTTCGAGGGCACTGGGGTCTTCTCCCTGGCTGTGCAGAGGGCTGCACTGTCTGCCCACCTGTGACCCTGAGGTTGGGTGTGGGCGGAGCAGCCTGAGCTGCTCAGTGCAAACAGGACCAGCTCAGGAACAGACAGCCGTAAAGGCTCACGTATGGGGATGTCGGAGGCGGTGGTGGTTTGGTGGTAGAACTCTCGCCTCCCGTGCAGGAGACCTGGGTTCGATTCCCAGCCAATGCACCTTATGTGCAGCCACCACCCGTCCATCAGTGGAGGCTTGTGCGTTGCTTAGATGCTAACGAGGTTTCAGCAGAACTTCCAGACTAAGATGAACTAGGAAGAAAGGCCTGGTGATCTACTTCTGAAATCAGCCAGTGCAAACCCTACAGATCACAAGGGTCCGACCGATTCTGGGGATGGTGCACGACAGGGCAGCGTTTCTGTTGTGCAGGAGGTTGCTGTGAGTTGGGATCAGTTCAATGGCAGCTCACAACAGTGTGGGGATGGCAGGGTGCCAGGGGGGAAAGGCTGGCTGCAGAGACCCCACAGTTACAGTGAGGAGGATTGGGCCCCCTCGTCACCTGGGCCAGCTGAAGCTCCTTGTTATCCTCTGAGCCCCATCCCTGCCCCCGCAGTCTCCTCCACACTGGCCGGATACGTGGGGGGAACAGGGAAAGAAGGAGACGGGGCAGCCTCAACCCCTCGGCCTGATGCGACTCCACGGAGCCCAGACCCTGAGGGGGCTTCCACACCACCTCAGCCACAGGGGTCAGCTGATGGCCATCAGCCACCTCCGCTGTCCATGCCTGGTTTCCATAGCATGATTATACTCACCTCGTGTGGAAAACTGGGGAGTGTCTGTTCTTTTCCTTGTCTTCCAAAGTGAAAGAATGGAATTCCCCTCTCTTGTATGTTTTGTAGAATTGGTATATAAAGTCATTTGGGGCTGATGTTTCTTTTCCTGAAGTGTGTGTCCCCCCTGGGTGTGTCCACACACAAGAACCTCAGTGGGGGCGGGGAATGTGCTAATGGGGGGAGCTGCAGGTGACCTTGACCACACCCACCTATCCATCAGGTGTTTTCAATTGCCTCATATGCATGTGAAAGCTGGACAATGAATAAGGAAGACAGAAGAAGAATTGATGCCTTCGAATTGTGTTGGCGAAGAATATTGACTATAGCACGGGCTGCCGGAAGAACAAACAAATCTGCCTTGGAAGAAGTACAACCAGGATGCTCCCTAGAAGTTAGGATGGCGAGACTTCATCTCATGTACTTTGGACACATTATCAGGAGGGACCAGTCCCTGGAGAAGGACATCATGCTTGATAAAGTAGAGGGTCAGCGAAAGAGAGGAAGACCCTCAATGAGATGGACTGACACAGTGGCTGTAACAATGACTGTGAGGGTGGCGCAGGACCGGGCCATGTTTCGTTCTGTTGTACAGGGGGTCACTGTGGGTCAGAGATGACTCGATGGCACCTAACAACAACAATCTCATTCCCTGAAGGAGCCCTGGTGGTGCAACGTTTAAGCACTCGGCTGCTAACTGAAAGGTTGGTGGTTCGAACCCACCCAGTGGCTCTGTGGGAGAAAGACCTGGTGATCTGCTTCCATAAAGATTTCAGCCAAGAAAACTCTATAGGGCAGATTTGCTTTATCTCATGGGGTTGCTATGAGTGGAAAATCGACTCAATAGCACCTAACAAGAACAACCCCATTCCTCATATCCCCCAGCCCCTGGAGACCAACCAATTTGTCTATGGATTTGCTTATACTGGGCATTTCATATAAACGGAGTCAGACAATATATGACCTTCTGAGTCTGGCTTCTATTATTACTTTTAAAAGGTGGTGTCAGGCCTCGCATCCCAGAAGAAAGTGCTCAAATCGAGCCTGAGACAGGCTGATGCCTCACACGGTGGTTGAGAGAGAGCAGGAACCACGCGAGGGAGAAGAACCTGGAGGCTGAAGCTGCCTCCGTGGCTGAGTGACAGGGACTGAGCCCAGTCTGCCAGGGAGATGTGTTTCCTTAAACTTTGCTCCTGCTGCCCGATGCATGACGAGGGACCAACTAGTCAGGGGCTGGCAAACTGTGGCCCTCGCGCCAAATCCAGCCCACTGCCTGTTTTTGAAAATGAAGTTTTATTGGGACACCACCATGCTCATTCATTTATATATTGTGTATGACTGCTAACTGAAAAGTTGGTGGTTTGAACCTACCAGCCACTCTGCAGGAGAAAGATGTGGCAGCCTAGGAAACCTTATGGGGCAGTTCTACTCTGTCCTATAGGGTCGCTGTGAGTTGGCAACAGGTTTGGTTTTGGGTTTATGGCTGCTCTCATGTTATGACAGATGTGAGTAGTTGCAACTGAGACTATATGGCCCCCAAAGAAGTTTGCCAGCCCCTGCACTGAACGGTCTGCTCTTCCAGTCACCCAGTGTTTTGATGGCTTTCTACTTACCCTATTGATGAGGGATGGATTCCTGACCCTAGGGTCATGGGAATGTCCAAGCACGTGACACCAACACTGGACAGACAAGATGACAGCAGTTTATTACTCACATACACTCACGCCTGGGAGAGGAGGACACGCCATGCAAAGCCACATGGGGGTGGCACTCAGGAGCAGAGAGAACCAGAAGGGGCTGTGGGAGGCACGCTTTGTAGTAGCAAGAGGGTGGGGTGTCCCCAGTTCCCATGGGAAGATGTGATTGGCTTGTTTGAATAATTATGTGGGCTGGCAGAGAACAGAAGCCCACTCCTCAGGGATAACAGGCTTTCCACCTGGTCAGTGAGGAGGGCCTGGAGAGGCCACGTAGGTCTCGTCACCCTCAGGGCTGCCTGCCTCCCCGGCACGTACAGCCACTCTGCTGGCTCTGGTCTGTGTGTCTCTCCAGCTACAGAAGAACATGGGGCGCTGGGCTGAGGGATCGGGAGGCCAGGGGAACCTTCTGGATCTGTGGTGTGTCAGTGGGTGAGCTCCTCTGGGCCCCAGTGACTGCATCTGTTCGGTGGGGATGGTCGCCCATTCTCTGGCTACCTGGGGATGAGCCAGAGTGCAGAGCGGTCTGTGACCGGGAGGCCCTGAGGCCAGGCTGCTGTGCAGAAGCCCTCCTCATGGGGCAGCTCCGGGTGCTGGGAAGATGGTGGCTGACGATCTTGTATATATCCCTTCCCGTCCCTCCCCACTGGTCCTTTTCATTGCCGTGGTCCAGGACTCGGAATGCCCTCAGCCCCCAGCAGGCATGTCCATGCAACTGATACCCACCAAGGCTGCTTCTGGCAGGTGTGAGGATGACAGCGGAGGAGGATGGGGAGGGAAGCCTGGGGAGAGGGGTACCCTTCACTCACTGCCTGGCTTGGGCTTCTCCTCACTTGTCCCCATAAAGCTGCAGCCTGCACCGGGAGCGGGCAGGCCGGGTGGGCAGCAGCATTCCCGTCCACCCTGAGTGGGGGTGCCGAGTGGCTGTGGTGGGGCAGCCTGGGAGGCCTCTGGTGGGATCAGTGTGCAGGCGGTGGCTGGCCCTGCTCTGTCCTCAGACCCTCACAGGGCTGTCCTGGTGCGAGGCGCCTGGACCAGGTCTGCTGCTGGGGACTGGGGCAGTCCCAGGCCCCCAGGCCACCACTTGCCTCCACTACCTTCCCAAAGGGCTGTATCTCTGGAACCCCTAAATCATGATCCTCACTCAAGCTGGGAGCTGGTGGGGCCTTCCCTGGGCTGGGCACTGGGGGGCGTGATTGCCTGAGCTGAGAGGAGCCAGCAGCGGGCAGTGGGGGGACACAGAGGGACGGTTCAGCTGTGGCCCAGGGTGCAGCTGCCAAGAACAGGCCCTGGACTGTGGGGGAAGGTGCCGGAAGACCAGGCCAGGCCCCTCTATCCAGCAGAAGGACTGCCTCCCCGTCCCCACGATGGCCCTGTGCTCCGGGGGCCATGCCGAAAGTGATGGTGAGGATCCTCCCTTGCTCCTCCTATCCACCCCTCCCCCCACCCCCCTGCCCAGCCCTGCCACCCTGGCCCTGCCCTCTGGCTGCCCGCTGTGTCTGAGCCTGCTCTCCTGGAGGGGTCTGGGGGAGGCACTGCAGACTCCACTATCTGGATGAGGAAGGGGCTGGGGGCGTGCCGGGTCCACAAGCTCGCCAGGACCTGCTGCAGGATTCAAACTCCCCTCCTGGGTCTGGGCTCCTCCTCACCCCTCACCGCCTCTCCCCTACACGCTGTGCCCCATCACCGGCCCTGGCCCTCCAGCAATGCCCCACAACCCAGCTGTGTTCACACCCCTCCCTGCGGCCACAGGGCTGGCCAGGTGCTGCCGGCGCCTGCCTCTTCCAGGCGGTGCCAGGATTTCTGTTGATTCTGGGCCCATGGGCGGGGGGTGCGGCTCAGGAGTGACAGCATGGAGTGGAGTGTCCGTGTCTGCCCTGTGAACAGGCCAGCTGGTCTGCCCTCGCCTGGGGCCGGCCTGGCCTCAGGAACCTGCCGTGGCTTGGAACCCCGTCTGGCCTCTGCCTGCTTGGCCAGCTCCTCCCATCCATCCCTCCCTGGATCCCGTTCAGGCACTGCCTCCCCCAGGAAGCCCCCGGCCCTCTGCCTCCCCAGCTGTCCTCATCACATGTCTCAGCCAGCTCAGACCATGTATGTGGACACGTGCACACTCACACACCACACACATACCTGGTCACACGTGTGCACACACATGTGCACGCATGCAGATACAGTCCCACACGTGTGCACACTCCTGAAGTCACACACATGCACACCTGTGCCCACGTGCTTGGCCGCCCGTCTGGTTCTGGCTCCACCTGGCGGCGCCTCAGGGGTGGCCTGCGTCATCCCTGAGGCAGATGGTGAGGCCAGGCCAGCCACGTGGGAGCGTGCAGCCGCCGCAGCCGGAGGACCTGCTGGGGGTGTGGGTGCTGCACCAGCCCCTCCTTCCAGCCCAGCCTCCCAGGCACCCACCCGGCCTGCCTGGGGTGGGAGGGGAGAGACAGACAGATGGATGTGTGTGCATACACACAGGTTCATGGGCTGGCCCAGTTCCCACCCCATAAGAATCCCCCACCTAGCCCAAACCCCTGTCCCTCTTCCCCCCTGGGTCCTAGGCACTCAGAGCTGGCCTCGCCCAACCCTGTGCTCAAGGGGCTGCCTGTCTGGCCTGGGGCCCAGGGGACCCAGGGGACTCTACTCCTGCTGAGGGTGAGTGGAGCTGGCATAGGCCTGGCGTCCCCATACCGGCCT